AATGCAGAGTCGTATAATTGGCTGCTTCCTAGGACATCGCAATGTTAAAGTAAACGGTTCGTTTCAAGGAAGAAATTCAGATCTTCAATTAGTTGTGATTGGTAAATGACGGGTGGAACATCAATATTTAAACTAGTTTCCTTCCGCAATGGGTAAATCCTGCATTCATATATGTAAGTATGTAGATATGTATACATATATGAAATCCACAGTTATGCTGATGGAACTGAATAAGACCAGTGCAGCTGTTTTTGTTGAACTTGACCTGCGACGATATAAAAGAATACGTTTGTACTACATAATAACAAATAGCCGCCAGGGAAATGTTTCATAACACCAGGCTTGTATTTACGTACGTAGATTTCTTTCAATAAGCATCGTCACTGTATACAACAAACAGGTCAAAATGAATGTGCGCTTTCATATGTTTTCTGCATTGGCTTATAAAAACAACGCAGCAAATCTGCTGACATGCGATCACGAAAGAAATTAAAAAATTCTGAATGCCTTTTGGGCATTGACATAAAGCAATTGAATGCTGGTGCGAGAAACACAAAACTATTATTATACAAACATGTTCGTGTACCGAAAATTACGTTTTTTCTTTGTCCACCGTAGAACAAATGCCCTTTCGCAAATTTTCACCTAAAATTTTACACTACTTATTATATTATGTACGGCCACCGCAACTGAGTGGTTAGAGGTGCGTTATACCTACCCGGTAGGAATCAGATTCGATGGGGTGCACGATATCTATACAGGTAACACATGTGGAATGTGCTGATATTAATATTGATATCGTTATTGATACATTTATCGATAATGATCCCAACAAAGTATAGGTGATGGTATAGAAAAAACTTCGATAATGATATCGATAAGTATCTTTAATCACTTCGAAATGGGGGTGCTATTGTATTGGCCAATACTGTATATGGATACCTCGATGAATTTCAAAAACATAAAATCTTCTACAAATTTGCATAAGAAGTTCTCGTCCACACTTTTTTTCTTCGTATCAATTTGATCTAAATTTGCTGCACAAAAATTTATTTGAAAATATTTTAAAAAACTACAGTAAAAAATAAATCTGGGATATTGCTCTGAAACCCACTATTATTTACTGGACGAAATCGGAAAAATCTGTACAGCTCAGAGAGTTTTTGTACAATTAAGGTCTGGATAACACTTTTTAAAGAAGGAAAAATATAGTTTGTTTTAGATAAATCACCAGGTATCGGTTTAATACAAATGTTGTGTCCATCCGCTAACGACTTTTTCGAATTTTTAATAAAAAAAAATGTATTACACTCTGCATTTAACTCATATATTAAGATCACATATTAGGTCATAATACGCCAAAAATATCATGATTTACAATCTGTATTTTAGTGAAATTCAATCCTGGGTAAAAGATAAACGGACACTAAAGGTTTTTTAAAAATTTTGCAAATATGTAGCTGGTAAGGGGTTTCAAAAATTGATATTTTTAAAAAATAATTTAAAAATTTTTAAATTTTCACTAAACAAAATTTTCAAATACGTATTTCTAAAAAATGTCTTGAATCGATATTTGGTAATTACTTATCGAAAATTTTTCCCTTCCGATAGAGTAGAGGTGGCGAGTATTGGTAGAAGTTTAAGTGCCACTTTATAAACATGTGAAGGTTCTCCCTTTAAAGTAGCCCAGACAGCTATTGGATTGGGATTATCCACACAACTAATGTTGTATCTCAATTGGAATTCCACCAGCGATATCTTGATCGGTGTTTAAAATTTTGTACCTTGCGCATTGGTCAAATGCGAACAAAGGCTGTATGTAGAAACTTACATAAACTCATGGAGAGAAACCTTCTTGCATTAAATTATTAAAATAAACTTGTTAGAAGAAAAGTTTTAATTTATGAGACTCTACTGCAAATAAGTTTAAAAAAGTCGCTAGTCGAAAGTGAAAAGTCGACTTCAATCGACTTCCATAAACTGAAAGTCGATAACCAACATTCGAATTTCAGGTGTAAAAAGTCGGTTTTGGTCGAAAATCGACCTCGATTTTGCCATCTCTACAACTAACAAGTGGAAAAAATGTCAAATCAGGGTCCGCGATTAATCGATTTTCGATTTAATTGATTTAAAACCGGCATCTCTAGTTTATAACAAACCTGCCTGTCCCGGAAACCTGTTAAAGGCGGTTAAAAATTAAGGGCCTCTCCAATTCGCGCTCTAATAGGTTTGTCTGTAATTTTATTCTAAATGGACAGTGTGAATGGAGTTCGATTTCAGTGGAAAATGCCCTTTGTATTGCTCTAAGTACAAGTATATTCTAGTTTTCGTATGACAAATGCGCGAGTAATACAAGTATATAAAATTCCAATTTCCTGTATACATATGTACATCACAATGGTCCTCTACAATAACGACACAACTCAAAATTTCACATTTTTCGGTAGAGGAAATTAAAGATTTTGTGTTTCCTAATCAGCAATAATATGTCTCGGAACATAATTATTCCAAATTATTTACAGTTATTCTGTAGGGGAAATTCGTAAGCTTTCAAATTATGACTTTTTTCTGAAGATTTAGTAAGGATTGTACTGAAAAAATTCGAAATAAGTAACAACTCCACAGGTATTAAGGCGCACGATTGGTACCTTTTTACAGATTTTTACATTTTTTATATTGGGCTATTGGTAAAAAATAAAAATATTGGTCCAACAATTTTTTGTGTAGTCGCACGAATGGTACAACATAGCGGACTTCTATTGAAAAATTTGAACAAATTGTTTTTCGTCATTGGGATAAAGAAAAATATGTGTGCACGAATGGGATACAATTTTCACCAAATTTTGGGCGAATGTCCAATCGTGTGGCACTGCCTTTAGAACAATGGCACAATTCGAAAAATGTCGTTATTTACCATAAAAGCATCACTAACCTGTCGACAGTTTGAGACTAATGCCAATATTAATGATAAATTTAAAACAAGTGCCACTGTTCACTAATAGGGGTTGCCTACTTCGATTTTGTGACAAATGGCACAACTGCGCCCCCTATCGATTGGGAAAAACTAAGCATATGTCGATTTGCCACAGAAAAATATGGTTCATTTATAAACCGAATCCTCTATATAACTCAAATAACGTGAAATTTCGAGTTATGCCATTATTGCAGAGGACTATCTATATGTGCATACATACATATAGTATATACATACATAAGTATAATACCACAGATATTTACTTAATTAAGTATATGTTTTGATGTCGCGTGCAAAATTGTGGTGGGTTCGCCGTGAATTGCATTGCTATGAATTATCAGATGAATATCACAAACCGCAACAAGTCAGCTGACAATGAAAATGAAACTACAAGTAAATTACATTGCAGAGAAAAAATGACGCTTGCATTCAAGTTAGAAGGTAAAAGGGAAGAGCAGAATATCTCTAGATATGCACATACATATACATTTATACATACATATGTATGTACGTAGATATTTTAGGAAATGCTTACACCCAAGGCATGTTCAACAAGGTAGAAGTGACAACCAGCTCGAACTCTATTATAGCTAAAGCCAGGTCAAGTCAAAGCAAGTAGTCAAAAAAACTACAGATGTTTTTGTTTTTATTTGCTAAATGTTTCGTTTCTGATTTAAATATTTAATTTAAAAAAAATCTGGAAATTATCAAAAAAAAAGATTCTTTAACATCTTCTTTTAAATTTATATAAAGACTTAACTAAAATTTCTTTTTTTACTTTTTGCAATTACAGATCTCTTCCCTGTTTAAGTTGTTCTGAAACCTGGTTATAAAAGAATACGCTTACGATATTTTGCTGCAGTGGACGAGTAATAAAAACATCGCGTGGAAATGATTTTCACAGACACGGAAAGAAACTTACAATCGAACTAAATCTTCTAACTTGGAAATTAGGCACCTTGAAATGTCGCAACACTTTAACGTTTGGGCCCTTACCACACACAGCGCATCACGCATAGTTTCTGCTACTTTTGATTTCTGTAGTAAAAAAAACACAACAAAAAAAACGTAATTCAAAACAATCTTACAGTACTCAATTGAAGTTTGAATGAATAATCCAAAACGCCAACTTGAAAATTGTTTAAAGGTATTCATCATTTGCCATTATAAGCGGTGTTCAATAGAGACAACTATCAAAATCACTAAATACTACTTACTTATGTATGCATAAAAATCCATATGTATGTTCCAAATACCGAAAAAAATTATACCCAATTGTTTTTTTTAACCATTTTCTATAATGAACTATGTTTTATAGGACCCATAAAAAACGACAAATGGGTCCCCCATTGCATTTTTTGAGGTTTTTAGGGGTTCTATATCGATCCGATCAAAAAAATATTGATTTTCAAGAATTCTATACCATTTCTACGAAAACTTGTTTTTCCCATATAAAATAAATGGAAAAACTGGGGTAAAGTTTTTTTTCGATATGGAACAATCCTAGGGGTGAGAGCAATAAAATTCCGACTTTACTTTTTCCCACATGCATTTTTGGACCACCCTAATGTACAGACGTACATATGTATTTATGTGCATGTCACATGCACTGCTACATGCAAAATCCAAAAAAATAAAAAAATTAAAGCTCTATAATGGAGGGCAACTTCTCACTGCGCTCATGATGAATAGTTTGCACTAACCTATTTGAAGCTAACTAACTAGATAGCTAACAAAGTACTCAGCTGGTTTATGTACATTTTACTTTTCTAATCAACTACCCTGAGATGATTTGCGTTTATTAAAAGAAGCAAACAAAACGGAAAACAGCTTGAGAGACAGTGCATTCGCAGAAAATGTTTGTAAAAACTTACATCGGAGAAAGTTTCGAAGCATCTCAAAATATTTGTCTTCTATGCAGTGCACGGACTACGCAAACAGTAATAGTACTACATTTTACATACAAAAAATGGTAGAAGTTGGTAGATTTTGTTAAAAGAAACAATATTTGATAGTTTTTACTCACATATATTGGAAAGAACATGGCGATAAGGTGGTGTTGCCAGAGCTGCTGGATGTTCGCCTCGCTGGTTCTTAATGCCAAAATTATGTATGTATTTGTTATAATTCTTACTGCCATTATGCGTGAAATTTGTTAGTGTAATTTTATATGAATTGATTTATCCTATATAAGAAAAAAGAATCTAATATTGTTTATTGTCTCAAATACTTTTTAAATTAAAAAATCGAACTCGCTACCAAATTCCGTAATTCCAAAAAGATGTTTGATTAAAATTTGATTCCATCAAGGATGCCGTGATTCGGGTCCTGTAATAATCTAAAAATTAGCTGAAACAATTCCTCTCCATTTTGTTTGTGTGATTAAAATTAGATTTGAAATGCTTGAAGTTTGCAGACCATTCGTTTGGCCACAAAAAAAAACGTATTGCAACCAAAAAATATTTATAGAAACAACTGATATACCATGGATGCAATTGCATATTTAAATTGGCAATGGTTGAGTTCACTTTTCATTTATATAATAGGTGTGTTCGATGACAAAATATGTATAAACCGCATTTATTTTAATCTCTTTGTTGGTAAAAATGGTAGAAAATAAAATACAGCTAAAAAGTTAGTAGATCTACCAATAAAGTGGCAAAGTCCGTGCACTGCTTCTGTGTACACAGATGCAACATACATACTTAAATACAGATGGATGTGGGAAGTTCTAACTTGTGTTTAGTTGATATTGCCTACAAAGCTGTGTACCGCCAAGTCAAAAGTCGATTCCGCCACTAAGATGACCTCATTGGGTACTTCGGGTGAGAAAACTAGCAGACAGATGCATGCTTGTATGCTTATGTGTGTTAATCGCGTATTTTATTATTACAAAAGTACGAATGAGTTAAAGAGTACACACATGATTGGAAGTCAATAAAAAATTGAACGGAATTAAGCTAGCATAAATTAGAGCACACATGCAGGGTGGGCAAAGTAAGACCGGCCAATGTTGAACACGAATAACTTTTTAATCTTTTAAGATAATTGTATTTTTATTTTTGCAGATTGTAAATACATTTTTAAAAATTGCTAATATTTTCTGAAAGTATATATATGCGGTAAAAAGGTACTCGATGGATTTGCAAATGTTGGCTTGTATTTTTATTTTATGGCCTACTAATGTTTCCATGTCCGGGCCTAAGTAGTTTGCAAAAGCTTGGAAAAATGGTAAATTAAAGGTCAAGACATTTATGGTAAAATTGCCTGGGAAATATTTTCTTAGAACATTTTAACCCATTAGCTCCGGCTTGAAAGGGTCGTTTTGACCTCTAATCCCCTAACGAACTTCCAAATTGGTTTTTTGGACGGGTTTCTTGAATTAAGGCTCAAAACGACCCCTTCGGCGGACTTTTGATATTGCCGTTCTATGAAAATATTTCCTATGTAATTTTATTGGTCTTAACCTATAATTTCGCTACAACAATTATTTAAAAAATTTGTTCCACTTTTTTTTTAAACTACTTAGGCCGGGATATGGAGACATTACTTAGTAGGCCATAAAATAAAAATGCGAGCTAACTTTTGCAAATCCATCGAGTGTTTTATTACTGAATAGAACGTGAAAGCTTTGCGGCAAAGTGTTGCAAATGATGCATATGTCTCAAAGCGTCGTCGTTTCGACCGATTGGGCATTTCCAGAACAGTATCGCGGAAATATTTTAAGTTGGATTTTAAGATGCATACTTATAAAATTCAAATTGTGCTAGCACTGCTTCCGCAAGACCAACAACAACGTGAAATTTTAGCGATCGTTTGATTTCAAAAAATTTAGATTTTCCCAGAAACCTTGTGCATGTCCTATTTGTGAGACTTTAGCTGTCATATATACAAATCAAGTGAATGCTAAAGCAGAATCGCTTTTAACTTCAATAAACTCAATCGATAAATTTGGTGTAGCAACCAGTGAACTAAGTAATGTGCTGTGGAATCCTTCCACGGCGGGAAAGAAGAAAAGGGCTGCTCTCACTAAATACAGTAAACTCATAAGATGCTACAAGACGGAAATGTGGAAGCAAAAGTGTGAGTCAATAGAGATACTCCGGCATTGATTCAGCGATGGATTGGTGTTATCAACGCTCCGCTGATCTGTTCATTTAGAACAAATTATTCGTGGGAATACATATCATATACCTGGAGTATGGTATCCTTCTTTTTTAATCGGGCCACAGGACCCCTACTCACCCAAACCATACAGACTTCTTAGTTCAACTTCCTTCATTTTAAATACAGTCGAAAGACTGCTAGACCTACATATTAGGGATAAGTTGAGACACGCAATTCCACTACATAACGCTTAGTTTGCGTATGTCAAAGGCAAACCCACAGATTCTGCCCTACTGTGATTGGTTGGTAAGATCAAAAGGGCCAACAATTTTAAGAAGGTTGCTTTATGTGCCTTCCTGCACATGGAGGGGGCTTTTGATAATAACGCCTACGAATCAATCTCAAGACATAGATCTGACCACTATCTGATGCATAGACCTCATGGTCACTGAGCGTGATATAACATCGTTCCTAGGCAATATCAACATCAGAGCTGATCAGAGATGAACATCAGAGCCATATGGGGTAGTGATATATGTGAATTGTTTCTTGACTGCTAGTTGAACCACTTCATCCACATAAGTCGCGAAAAAGTCAGAGTTTTCATCTGGCCAAGCACCATAACCTTAGAAAAGTTACAGGAATAGAAGAACGCAATGCAGTGAAATAAATCTCCATAAACAGATCAAAAATAGATCCACAAACAGCAACAAAACAAACTACAGAAAAATTATTTTCAACCAGACAACCTAATAGCCGGCAAGCGTGAACAACCACACTGACAATGTTGCATTTTAAAATTTAATTTATTTTCCATCTGTTTCTTCAGATTGTGCCACTGTGCAACTAAAAACTTCAAATCGCTACCAGATATGACTTGAAAGGTAATTAATAACATCTAGAAGAAACTGAGAAGGAAACGAAAGCCATTATAAAGAACTATGCGAATAAGAGAATATAAATTGAACAGAGAAGAAAAATGAAAATAAAAAAAAGAAGACAAATTAAAAAGTCATACAAACCTATGTTTCTACTTAGTTAGATACATATGTGCATATATACTTATATATCGACAGCTGAAAATGCAAAAAGACGTAACAGCATCGTAAATGAAATGGAAAACGTCGTGACTAATATTTTTAATATATTTTTCATAAAATGTTGTGGAGAGTTGTAATTCTATGAATTCTATCATATAAATCAAAATGTGAATTTTGAATTTTGTTTAGTTATGACTATTTGCATTTTAACAATGATGTTTGTTACGTCTTTTAGCATTTCAGGTGACGATATGTATGTATCTAAATATGTATCATTTATTTGCTTTGAATTCAATTTTCGCACTAAAATTATGACATCATTTCCAGTTTTTAAACCATTAAACCGAAGTTGTTTTCATTCAAAATTCAGTTTTTATTTGTTTAGGTTTATATGTACTTACATATTTTCATTTTTTTTGTAGTGTGGTTTTGGTTCTCAACTCATTTGCTGTTACGCTGAAATACCGATGCTAATGAGTGAACAAGTAATGCTTATTATGTCCGAGTATTTACATGAAAATACAGTATTTGCATAACTGATTGTAATATATGTATGAAAAAACGAAATTTGTAATCAGTGATGATAAAAGTATATCTTCTCAAAGTTTCAGATCTCTCAGAAAGTAAAATGCTTGACTAATTATTTCTCTACTTTTAATATACTGTATGTATAAAAAATAAATGGGGACACGATATTTTTTTCAAATTTTTCTTATTTATTATTTTTTTATTAATGTTTAGCTCATCATCATACAAAAACCATTTAAATTCGTATTTCAAACACTGTGCAAAAATTATAAAAATTCCGCAAAATTGCATCTTAATAAAATTTTTTAGAATTTTTCTGAGTAGTTATATAATTTTAAAATTAAATTTTACTAGAATGAAGTGGAAGTATCAAGTTGCTAAAAAAACGCGTTGATTTTTCGCAATTTTTTTGCGTATTTCCTTCTGTTTTGTATGGAAAAAAATGCTTAATACATTCAGAATAAAAATGATCAAAAATCAATGCGATTTTGTAGAAACTTAAAACTTTCGCTTTACTCAAAAAAAATATAAAAAATCTGATTAAAAAGTTGAAAAATTAGATACAATTTTGCTGAGTTTTTATAATTTTTGCACTAAGTTTGTAATAAGAATTTATACGGATAATGAATGATCTATACTTTTATAAAAAAATAATTAATATAAGATAAATAGAAGAAAAATCCAAAAAGATTTGTTAAAATGTCATGTCCCTATTTAATTTTCCACCACTGTATGTATATTTTTAAAAGATGTTTATTTAAAAGGCGTTAAATAAATGTATATATGGTTTAAACATTCGTTGTTTCCGCGAAGGGTTTAAAATTTTTTGTTCGTACATTTTTATGAGATTTGGTAAATTTTTTTCTGACGTTTGATACTGTTGCGAAAAATTCAATTAACTTCCCTGTTTGTAATTAGCGTAAAATTTAAAAGTTGCCCTTATGCCACGATGTGTGAATTTGGTATCTCTTTAACCATTTTTTTACTAGTAAAGATAATTTAATTATCCCCCCCATTGCATTTGTTGGCATTTTCTGGGGGTTTTGGCGGACCTATAAAATATAGTTGCTATGAAAAAATGGTTAAATAAATTAATGGGCATTATTATTGGGATCTCCTGAAGAGAAACAGAGTCTTCCGATTGAAAAATATGGATTTTCAAATATTATATACCATTTCTACGAAAAGTGTTTTTTCCCATATAAAATGCATAGAAAACTTTGAGCGCTTTCAGCGACCTCTAAATATTTTTTGATTTAAAAGTAAAAAATAGGGGTATATTTTTTCGGTATAAAACAATCCTAGGGGTGAGAGCACAAAACTTCCGACTTTAATTTTTCACATGCATATAGCACATTCACACATACATATGTACATATGTATGTTAGCTGTGCTGTACACACAGTAAAAAAA